AGGCAGGAGAGGCCTGGGAGAGACCGCGGGGCCGGAGCCGAAGCTGAGAGCTGCAGGAGAGGCAAAACCCAGCTGATGGAGGCGGGAGCCAGGCTCGGGCGGAAAGCGCCCCTTTCCGCGGGGAATCGTCTGGAGAGCGGCGCAGCAGAAGTTTATTTCAAAAAGGCCCTGCCCGGCCCCAGGGAAGGGGTTTACCGGCCTGACCAAGACCCCAGTTGAAGCCGCTCGTGATTGTTTCGAGACTGTTGATTACTTCGTGAAAGTAACGTATTAGCCGTCTGTAATCTCTGCTGCTGGGGAGAGCGTGCTGTGGAGTACCATTTCTGTTTTGCCAGTATAAGATCCAGTGTGACATGACTGGCGTTGGCTGTCTTGCTAAAATAATAATGTATCAAAGTATTTTTTGTAATTATTACTGAGTTTTATTCTTTCACAAATGGCTGAAAATTTACACAACTTCCAAAAATGTTTCTCAACAGATTGGCAAACTAGGAACTAATTGTCCAGAGTTCAGATAACCAAGATTGTGGCCCTAGTGCTATGTTATGGCTTGCTGCTGTGCACTGAAAAAATCCCCAGTGCTCTGATTAACCTGTAGATCCTGCCTGATTGTTTAAAGAAAAGATTAGCCTTCAGCCTGCGTTTCATTCCAGGTGCTGCTGAAAAGCAGCTGTCTTAACTCTGCTGTGCAGGGAACCCCTATAGTTACCTGTGATGTTGGAGAGCAATTTGGGATTTCTATTGAAGAGGGCTGAGTAGGAAATTGTTTAATTTAAGGGATTAAATCGTGTCAAATCTTAGATAAAGAGTAAGGGAAGGGTAACAACATATTTTCTTGCCCAAGTTGGGTGAGGAAAGCTGTATTTGGAAACAAGTCTTTTTTTTTTTTTTTTTTTTTTTTTTTTTTTACAACAAACAGTGAGGGGGGGTTATTATTTTTTTTTTTTTTTAATACCAAGCAGAGAGGTGGGTTATTACTTCTCTTGTCCCCAGGCTAATCTTCAAGTAGTGCCCACGCTTGCAAGACTCGTGTTTGCACTGCCTGTATGAGGTAACAGTTCAAATATCTCTTCAAAGTTGACGTTTAAAGCAGAAGGGGCATTACCAAAATTAAGTTGAAAAGCTGAAGTTGTGGTTACCTCCACAATACTTGGTATTTTGAAGAGGTTGTTTTGTAATCCTGATGTCATCTTGTTCTTTATTGGGAATTTCTGTTTTGATAGATAACTTAAAGGGACAGATACTTGGTTTTAGTTTTATACGATTCACTGTAATACTTGGTAAACATTATCTGTGCTTCAGATTTGAAAGTTTAGCTTTACAAAAAGAAAATGAAGGTACAGGAGAGGTGGCTACTCTGCCAGGGATGCTGCCAAGCGCTGCAAAGACCTGAGGCCTGTTTACCTCTGTCTTCAGGAAGGGGGGAAAAAAAAGTGGAGCATAGCAGTCATTTTAAAATTGCACCAGCTGTCCAAAACTAGTCAGTGGTAAGAAATGAAAAATGCAACATGATTTTAAAAATAAGTACTGAATGTTAAACATCAAGACTAGACATGTTCATGCTGGATGTTACGATCATGACCATTCTGAATTCTATGAAGGGGTGTTTATTTCTTAGAACTTGCTCTTCAGTAAAGCAGAGGTGAGGATGGTCTTTGGTTGCACAGCACCTGCACAACAGAAGTAGCTGTGATTGGGGCAGCTGATCAGCATTCAGCTAGTTTAGTCACAAGGGGAAACTTTTCTTTTTCTGAAGAAAACAGGAGGTCAGTGGTTTTTAAAAATATATCTGTGGATTATGTGATACTACAAATACTGTCACAAAAACTTACTGAGTTTAGTCATCTTTGACTGCTGTCGAAGTCTGCCAAATCTGCTACGTGCATATGAGAATGGTGTGAAAGAGCAATGTGTGTTCTCAAGGAAGTGATGGGTTACTACAATTTCTGTTTCTGGGTACACACTGTGCCTGTAGCCATGCCTGCCCTTCTGTACCAGCTCCTGTGTTTGTCCTAGCTACGTGGCTACTGTAAAACTCACGCTGGACTGAGTACACAGTTCCCTTTCTAATAAACCTTTCCCCATTTCTGCTTAGTCTACTGGGAAGGAAGACCGTGAGACTACTGAAATGTATAAACATTAGTAGTGTTTACTGATGTATTACCATGCCTCCAGTGCAGCGGATTAGTACTGTATAACCTGGAAGAGTGAACAAATTTGTGAGAGGTTCTTTATAGAAATTTATAGACTTCACTGAAATCCTGATGAAAGCTGTGTCATGTAAGGAAGGCAATCGGCAGTATTCCAGAGACTTTTCTGCACTCCAGGAAAGCGAAGAGGCATGTGTCATTGTCGAGAAGCTTGCGTGCTGGGTCTTAGCCATGCTTTGTGTAGCTGGAATGACTCCAGCCCTAATTGGATACTTAAGCCTGAAATTCTTTTCTTTGTGTGTTATCTTTTGTACCTGCAAAGTTCTCTGTAGGCATCTTTCAGTCGTTGAAAGGGCTTTTTGACTTGAGGGACATGGTCAGAAAAAGTGTAAAATCAAGAAATGCTACCTGAGGCCTATTTTAAAACTTAGAAAAAATGACGGTTGAAACAGGTACAGGAATTGGCTTGATTGGAGAAGAGCAGTGATGGACAACAAATGGACTTGTTTATGTTGTTTAGAAATAACACTTTATTTTCTTTGAGGTTTTGCATCTGGAGATTTGTGTCCACAGAGCCTTATCCTTGTAGTTGAAGGTTTAAGGGAGAGATTTTTGGATGGTGAGTGAGGGAAAGACTGAATAAATAGTTTACCAGAGCAGGAACCAACAATTTTGCATTACTTTTTTTTCTTTTTGGTATGTGGACAGGCGGCATGTATGGTAAGGGAAGTAAGTGCTGGCTACTTGGTAGAGGAATTGGCCTGTACAACTGCAGAGGCACTGAGGGTGACTGGCTGGCAGAACTGAGCTCCACACTCGCTCAGCTGGTGCACGGTAGTAGTTGATTGTTCCTAGGTACAGTGTGGAAGGGAAAAGATGGGTGATCCTGGAGGGCAGCAGTGTGGACATAGACAGATAATGACGTGAGTGGTAAGGAGGCAACATGGACATTGTAAGACCAGCAGAGGTTTTGTGGTTGAGAGCTCTAGTTGAGAAATTACAGTTGTAGAAGTATATGAGATAAATGTTAGGATATATAAATGCTTAAAGGGTGATGCATACACGAGAGAAGCTGGTTATGAGTGAAGGCTAAAACTTACTACAAAGTTTGGAACCATGATAGACTGGAGTTTCTGGAGTATCTCACAAAAAAGCAAGAAAATCAAGTTTGTCTTAAAACAGTCTGAAATTCCCATGTTCTCAAATATATCTATTTACATTATGTCTTGTGAAGTAAGGAAAAAAAATCTCAGGTCCACTCATATAACCCAGCTTCCTTTTGGAATCAAGATACTGATGCAGAATCTGCATTCCACTAGGTGTACTAGGTGTTCTGGTAAAAACTGTCCAGTTGTAGCTTCTGTTTCCTTCCCACTAATCCATTCTTTGCCCTTGTGTGTGTTGCCTACAGATTCTGCTGGTATTCCCAGTGGATCTTTTCCTGGACTGAAAAGATCAGATACAACAGTATCTGTACAGCCAGCAACTTTCTGCTGTGTGTAACAAACGTGCAACAATCCAAGTAAGTAAAACTTTTTTTTTTTTAAATTTTCTTAGTGCCTGAGACTTTCCCCTGCTGTATTCTGTGTTTCTCTCCTTGTCCAGTGCAGGCTGTGCTGTGCTCTGTGCTTTGAGGCCTGCTTAGGTAATGTCTTTCAAATTGAGGTGCATAGCTTCTTGGAATAAGCTTGGACAGTCGGGATATGTGAAGGACATTATATCCAGGGGGAGGTGGTTGGGCTGGGAATAGAGCAGCAGGAGTCGAGAGTGGCAGGAGTTTCTGAGACAAGCTGTGGGCTTTTGGGTTTGGATGGCAATGGCAGGGAGACAGTGGCTTGGCTCTTCTGCTCCTGGCAACCATGCACATCTCCCGGTTTTGTTCTCAGTGGGGTCTGCTCCCTTGCTTAGCTGAAGCCCCTCACACGCCATGCTGTTTTGCAGCCTTCTTCCAGCCCCATTTTTCCTGCCAGCTCCTCTGCTGTGTTCGCAACATGTGGTGCCCAGCACTATGTCTTCATCCTCTTCATCCTGTGTAGAAGCTAGTGTGTCCCTGCTTGAGCTCTGCTGGTTTGCTCCCAAACGTGCATGACCAAACTTACATGTTTCTTTGTATGTTTTTCATTCAACATGCGTACCATTCAATTAAAGTCCCTGGAAAAAAAGAAAACTCTTAAGAAATCTAAGAAGATAATAAATTATTGAGCTCTTACCGAAAGTATGCTTTCTTGATGATATTGCCACCTTCTTCATCACTTGGATAGCTGGATATAGGCTTACTTTATTTTCATGTCTTTGCCTTGTTTTGCATAGCATCTTTGCTAGTGTGTTGTACCTCTCAGTAAAAATTCCCTAGAAAGGAATTTGGTGTAATGCATTCAGATAATTCACTTTCAGCAATATTCCTTACAGTGGAAGCTAAAAATAAACTATGTACTTCTTTTCTAAGTCATCCTAAAAAATGTGTGTAATGGAAATGTCCCTCCTCTTGCTGAGAGTGCATATGTATTAATTCTGAGTTTTGGAATGATGCTCTATGAAAGTAAAAGCAGATGGTCTGAGTTACTAGGTCTGGTTTCACGATCTGCTTACATTCCTTTGCATGAATCTTGTTGCCAGCTCCCTTTGTACCACTAGCATTTATGCTATTGTGTGGCTGGTGAGACTTAAGGAACTGAAATGGCTGAAAACTCCATGTTGGTAGGCAGTTAAAGTGGCAAGTTGGATTTTTCTTTTGGTAGAAATAGTCTTAGATTGATTTAGGACATTTGCTATTGCCCTGTTTTAAGGATATACATTTATTTTGATTAAAACCAGGAGAGTTGTAAATCCATACCAACCAATGAAAATGTTCTTAGTTCAGACTTTCCTGTAGCTAACTGTGCTTACCTTTTATAAAAATTTCTTACGACAGACATACACTCTGATTTAAACTAAAAATTACATTTTCTTTATCCTAAAGTTTGTTTCAGAAGGACTTCAAGCAAGTACAGATGTAATTATTCAGTTTCAGAGGAGCCTATTTAAAACCAAGTAGAGTGGTTTTGTTCTGTACCTGAGTGGCTAAGGAAGATTTCATATAAGGAAAATTGTTCTGTGAGGTAGTAAATGTATTTTCTCTTCCATTCTTAGAAGAGCAATACTTGGTATTGCATTAAAAGCAGGTGCCAGGCTCAGCTTTGGCTGGAGAGGGAGAGAGGGATGACTCTACAGTTTCCTCCATCTTCTCCAGCCTCCCAGGAGCAACACTTCCACACATAAGTTTCTCCTTGCATGGTGTGTTAGTGTGAGGGTTGTGCAGACCTTTTTTTCTCCCCTCCTGGTAAGCGACAGAGAGATCATTTACCCACAGTTATCCTTGAGGTGCTGTTGCAGTTACCTGTGTGCTGCTGTGGAATCCATTTCTACTAGATTCTTGTGAAGGTCAGGAAAACAGCTGGGATTAAAAAAAATTGTTGCCTAATGATTCATCTGTAATTGTTGGGTAAGGCATGAATGACGTGATTTACCTATCCACTTTTAACTTTTTCCCCCTCTTTTTTTCCGTTTCTCCTTGGGCAAAGGCTATTTCTCTGCATTTTTACAATGGTCATTTGCATCCTGTCTTCAGAAAAAGGCTGCAGTTTGAAACTACATAATGTTAACATATCGATTTGGGCAATATAAAAAATTCTCATAAAATGGGGGATGCATCCTATAGTGAGAAAATGGTAATAAATATGTGTTCGGTCTTGGGTGTGGAGAGGAAAATTTGTAGTTACAGTGGTTATTGCTAGGTAAAGATACATGAAAGGCTTGCAAGCCAGACTCCAACCCTGACGGTCTGCATCATGAATAGAGTGTGAGGAGGGAAGGGGACGACGGCTGCAGCACTGTAGCTTTGTGCATCTCTCTATTTGGGAGCATGACATAGGTAATGGTGCCCTAATGTTCTTGCAGTAAATCTGCTCCTTGGGAGGAAGGGAACCTTGAATACATTTCCCTTCCTAGAACAGATGGTGGCATATGTTAATGTGTGAATATGTATTCTCTGGCAGATATAGCAGGTATAGTTTATCACACAGCAACCTATTGTTTTGGGCATGTTAAATAAGACCTGTGTAGCTTTGGGACTGTGATAAACATACGTTTGTTCTTATTTCCCCTGTAATGCCTGTATTAACCTTGATGAAGAATGTCAGAGCAAGAGTCTTCCTCATCTACACTACATCTACACAGTTTGATGCTTCATTTAGCATTCTGAAGAAACTACCCAACTTTTTACAAACTCATGTTGTGGGAGGGTGTGTTGAAGAATGCTGTGCCGCTATTTTAAAAAAAAAATGTAGGTCATATCCTGTATTTTAATTAATTACATAAACATTGGACAGTTGTCTTGTGTGATGAGATATAACGCTGCTGACTCCTTCTGCAAAGTGTAGCTGCCTCTGAACATACTTCTGGTTTCAAGTCAAAGTTTTATCCTGGATGATTTTAGTCAGATACAAGCCCTGAAGCCCATGATAGAAGGCTGTAAGAATATTGGCTTTATAACGAATACTTGGTTAATAAGTTCTTCAGGTGTTACCTTAGAAGTTCTGATTCACTTAATTCACTTCCTCCAATAGCAAGATGAAAGTTTAGCCATGTAGTTTTTGTTTCTTTTTCACGTACAGCCTGCAAATTCTCTTGCCATGTTAAAATTGGCAGTTCTGGGTAGGGAGCAAATCTCCTCCTTCTGGTTTCAGGTTGCTGCATGAGGTTCGAGTGTAGGAATTAAAATGGAGGGGAATTAAAATTTCAGGAATTAGCTGAAATATGTTTTTGCAAAATGCAAAACCCTACAAAAACTGCTGCACACTACTGAGTTTTAGTAAGTATTCAACAGTCTCAAAAGAATACCATTCCCCCAAATTCATGTGGCTTTAGTGCAGTTGTAAAAGTGACGTAGAGCTGTGCTGCACTCTTCATTGGAGAGAAGGGTGTCTATGCATCCTTCTGTTGGTAGAATTTGTTATTTGTCTTCCTGGTCTCCAGCTAGCATAACTAACTAATCTGGTTTCATTTGAATAGACTGGTTTGTGAATGCTGTGGCTTTTACCAGCCTTCTACCTTCCTTGATGCCAACTCTGTAGAGCCGTAGACCTCTGCAGAAAGGAATGAACTGGAAGGGTGCTTTGTCCCTTGCCGGTGGTTTTCTAATGTGTGCTCATGAAGGAAATAAATTAGGCTGAGAAAAGTGCTCATAGCTCAAAGTACTTGTGATTCTTTCTCTTGAGCAAATGAACAAAACCAAAAAAGCTGGAGGAGGGAGCTGGTGCTTTTGCTGCTTTATTAATTCTCCTCTGGAGTCTAGTTAGAGTGCAGCAGGGCACACTGAGTCAATGTCCACCTTACCATTGTGCACCTGGAGGACTAGAGGTTTTTTTATGAAGAGCAGAAGAATGACATGGGATGGGTAGCTAAAGCCATTGATCTTTGTCTTACCACATGCATTTCTAAAGACTCAAAGCAAAAGAGTAGTGAGAGTCAGGGAAGAGAAGCTAGAACTGCTCATTTCTCTGTGTTGAGTGGCATTTGGATCTGAAACTTCCAGATGTAAATGGAAACTTCTTGTGTATCAGTGTAAAAGACCCAGTCTTGCATTTAGTGTGCTTGTTGGTTTTTCAGTGTTTGCATATCCTGGTTTGAGATACCTTTAATGTTGCCTAATGGTTTGCATATGGTACCTCCGGATAACTTTTTGGTGTTTAACTTCCTTGTTACCAGACCTATCCTTTGTCTTTTCTTGCAGTCACGTACCCGTCACTTTTCTTCTTTTGAATTATTTGGGAGCAGTGTTTCAGAGTCTGCTTTAAGAAGACAATACTTGTGGGTTCAGTTTCTGCTTCAGCCATCAGCTC